TCCCACACCTTTTGGTGATGAGAGGTCAAGTGTTCAGTGCTATGTGTTGTATGTGAGTAGGAACAACTGGGGATTTTTGCATTTCTTACAGAATCACCATAGGACTAAGCTCGCCCCCCCTCCCCATCCCCTGCCCACCAACAAGATGTATTGTTCTTCCTTCTCTGACTTGTATAGATTATGCCAAGAGTTCCTAACCCTATGGCCTTAGGCTGCTTCAGCCAATGAGAGCCCAGCAGAGATTAGAAGGAAGGAAGGTAGGTGAGGTTTGGTACTTCTTTATGCCTGGCTGCCTCACTGCAAGGTTGGCTCAGGCTGGCTTTGTCCCTGGACACAGTCCCGCCCTGCCCTTCCAAAATGGCCAACTCTGTGTGCGTCTCTCTTCTCATCTAAACTGTTTCCTCCTTTGTTGTTATGGGCCAGGTGGGTAAAGGCTGGGGTGCTACTAAGCCCTGGGTCACTAGGTTTCCCACTGTGACTCTCCTGTACCCCAACTTTCTAAATGAACCCTCCTTAAGTGACCCTTTTTTAGGCTCCCCCCTCTTTCCTATAAGGGCTGTAACTAGTACGGACACCAGCAGCTCTGGATCTTCTCTTCCCAGCCATCCTCTGGGATCTGTGGAAAAAGACAAATTACTATTCGGTGGAACCGAAGAATGATTCCACCCAAAGAAAAGAAACAGTGACAAGAGAAGAAGCTTGCAAAGGTCTACGAAATGTGTCTCTAACTTCCCCTCTTTGAGTCACCATCGTACTTTTGAGTACAATTAGTTAAAAATTAATGTTCACGGGCTTTTTAAATTGTTTGGAGTAATGGTGTCTCCCTTAGACCAATAATTGAATTGCTTAATTGGGAACATAAATCTCCATTGTGAATACTGACATTTTCTCTTTAACAGCTATGTGCGTTCTATCCACTAGCCTGGGCCTCATTGTTTCTATATATGTGTCAGGTAAATGCTTTTAACACACAGCATTCCTCCCTTGGTAGGTACTAAGTAATAAAGGTTAAGTTGTTCTGAAAATGATTTTACATTTCTGTTTCAGCTATGAGTTAGTACCTGCTTCTAAAATTAAGAATGATTCTAACGCAGAACATCATTAATTAGTTTTCCAATGGCCCATTTGCTTAGGGATTCCATGCCTCTTGAACAAATTGCTCAGTTGTTCACAGAAAATTATATTTTGTTAGGTAGACTCAGGGAGGTGTCTGATTAATTCCTAAAATAGTGTGCTAGAGGAAGACTCTGGGCTATTAGCTCACAGATTTTTTTTAAATGAATTTAGTTATATATTAGAATACTAATTTTTTTAATTGTAGTATAATATTTTGGTTGTTCTGTTTATTTTCTTTGCCATAAGTTTTTCCAACTTTCCATAAATTAGAAACTAGAAATAAGGGAAGAGGCATAATCATCCCAAATAACTTTCTGTGGTTCTATTCAACAACCAGCTACCAAATGAAATATGAAGCTGGGTCGGGCACAGTGGCTCACGCCTGTAATCCCAGCACTTTGGGAGGCCGAGGCAAGCAGATTGCTTGTGCTCACTCGGGAGTTCGACCCCAGCCTGGCAAACATGATGAAACCCGTCTCTACAAAAAATACAAAAATTAGGGGTCGTGGCGGTGCACACCTATAGTCTAAACTACTCAGGAGGCTGAGGTGGATCACTTAAGCCCAGGAGATCGAGGCTGCAGTGAGCTGAGATCACACCACTGCACTCAGCCTGGGTGACAGAGCTAGACCCTGTCTCAAAAAAAATAAAAATGCTTATGTTTTTAAAATATAAAGATATTTAAAAATTTTAAAAAGAAAATAAGAAATATGAGGCTGAAAAGCACACATGTGCCCAACATAAGGGGTTGGGTTCCCCCGCCTTATCAAATTGCCCAGCAGCTGCCCAAGAAAAAAAGAATTGTTAATGACAGAATGAAAAGCAATAATTGCAGCCAATCTGAATAAGCCAAATATAAAAACCCATGAAGATGTAAGAATAAGTGGGAAATTAACCAGAGGCTTGTGAGCATAAGGACATAAAAGGTAGTTAACAACATACAATAGTGATTTTTAAAAGAGTCAGGGAAAGGCAGATGAGGAACAAATCAAGTTACGGAAGGTCTAGGCTAAATTTTTGGCCAATAACCAAGTTATCAGTACAAACTGCTGTTGCCCCATAGGTTGCAGAAGTGTCCAAAACCCTTGGCTCCTGGCTGAGAATCTGGACAGAATGTCTCCCTTATGAAGAATTTGGTTGTGCAAATGTTTAGTTTCTGCAATCAGGGATGGGTAAAGTATTGTGTATAAAAAGCCCATTTCAGGCCGGGCACAGTGGCTCACACTTGTAATCCCAGCACTTTGGGAGGCCGAGGCAGTTGGATTACTTCAGGTCAGGAGTTCGAGACCAGCCTGTCTACCATAGTGAAACCCCATCTCTACTAAAAAATATAAAAAGTTAGCCAGGTGCGGTGGCAGGCGCCTATAATCCCAGCTACTCAGGGGGCTGAGGCAGGAGAATCGCTTGAACATAGGAGGCAGAGGTTGCAGTGACCCAAGGTCGCAACCACTGTACTCCAGCCTGGGCAATAGAGCGACACTCCGTCTCAAAAAAAAAAAAAAAAAAAAAAAAGCCATTTCAGGCCTACATTCATACACACACGCACAGTTTCATGACTCCAGATCTTTGCTAATGCCAATTGTTTCTTCTTCCTGGAAGCATCTTCCCTTCTTCCTCTGCCATTTAAATTCAGATTTATATTGATGACCCCCAAGAACTACTCTTCCTTCTATACTCTGTTGTCTACTCCTAACTGGGGGTGGGGAAGCAGCAGGAGATGTCCACAAATAGCAGAGGCCTCTTGGCGAACAGGTCATGGGTGCGCTATGAACAAGCTCTGCTAGCCTCCACATTCTACAGGGGATGAGTTCTCCCCCAGCCACCTCCTCCTCAGCTTCTCTCCAGGGGGTACCTATGACTGAGTGACCTCTGACACTCGGTGCCTCCAGGGTAAGAAAGTTCCCTTCAGAAGAGCAGCTGGCACAGCCATTATTGAGTCTGTCTCTGCCTCTACCGCCTCACGCCACTTCAGTCTCCTGAGATGAGCTCATAAGCCCAGCAAGACCGTGAGCTCATCTTGAGATGAGGATATAAATGGACAGAAGACTCCACTCACAGCAGGGTTTTCACAGCTGCTATCCAGCATGGTCAGCCAAGAGAAGGCACGGAGTCTTACTGAGTGTCTCTTACGGACAGCATGCTTCACAGATAATGTCTGTCTTCTTAAAGCCTATCAGCTAACGCCTACTAGCAATACACGCACAGCCAAATTTAGGGTTATTAACTTGTTGCAGCAAGAGAGCACATATGCAAGAGGAATCGTGGAACATGAAAAGGTGAAAGTTAGGAAAGCGTACTTACTAAGACTGGGGAGCTGGAGTTAAAGGTTCTTGGCAGAGATTGGTCAGAATCTGGAAACTAGGAAGTTGCTGGAACTGTCAGTAATTTTATCTACAGAACGCCAAAGTCATGAGATGTACACCCATGTTCATAGCCACACTATTCCTAATAGCCAAAAGGCAGAACCAATCCAAGTGTCCATTGACAGATGAATGGATAAATAACATGTGATGTATACATACTATGGAATATTATTCAGCCTTAAAAAGGCATGCATGCTACACATGGATGAATCTTGAAGACATTATGCTAAGCGAAATAAACCAGACACAAAGAAGACAAATTCTGTATTATTCCACTTACGTGAGGTACCTAGAGTAGCCAAACTCATAGAGACAGAAAGTAGAATGGTGATTGCCAGCGGCTTGGAGGAGGGGAGAATGGGGAGTTATGTTTAAGGGGTACAGAGTTTTGTTTTGGTAAGATGAAAAGTTTTCTGTGGATGGATAGCGGTGGCAGTTGAGTAACAATGTGAATGGACTCAGTGCCACTGAACCGTATACTTAAAAATGGTTAAAATGGTAAATTTCATGTTATGTATATTTTACAACAATTTTTTTTTAAAAGTCACGTGGAATGACTGTTAGATCAGTTTGTCTGATGTCCTCTAAAAAACACGGGTCTGCATGTGCTGGTTAGTGTTTGAGTTTAGATACTTTCTCCTGTATGCTGTGGCTTGGCTCGGTTTAACTGTTTTGCAAGTCACAGAGCAGATTTGCAATATGTGATTTGTGTTTTAATTCTCAGTTCCCCCATCTCAGACTAGCTGTCAGCAGAGCTGTTTTTCACTTTCTCAATCTCATTTAGTTGTTTGCTTGTTTGTTTATTCGTCTTAACAACTGAAAGCAGTACTAGATTCGAGATTCCAACCCAAAGCTGCCAGAATTCTCACCGTGGACTTTTCTATCATACGGGTCCTCTAAAGGTTAAAATGGCTCATTGAAATATGCACAATCTGTCTCTTCCTAACACATAACAGATTTAAATCCGTATCAACTATGCCAGGAACCCTAAAATACTGAGATAAATATGGCATTGCCTGATTTCCAGGACCTCACAGACTGAAGGGCAAAACATAAATACATAGTTATGTGTAAGAAATATAATAAATCTAGAAGGTAAATGATCATATGCCCATGTTAAATATCTACATAATTGTGATACTACTCACTTACATTTGGTTAGAATCCTTTCACAAAGAAGAGAATCTCCTTTTTCTAGAGATGAGACTCAAAATTAAAATGGAACACTACTAGAAAATTTAACACATTCACTTAGATTTCTCTGAAGCATAAACGATGGTGTTAAAAGAGATTTAGATAAAGCAGAGAAAGAAAGCAGAGTAATTCCTAACAGATGCATCATAATTTAAAGCAGGAATCGGCAATTTTTTCTGTAAAGGGCCAGAAAGTAAATATTTAAGGCCTTACAGGCCATATGTGGCCAAAGACAATATGTAAACAAATGAGTATGGCTGAATTCCAATAAAACTTTATTTATGAAGCTGAAATTTGAATTTAATGTAATTTTCACAGGTCATAAAATATTCTTCTTTTTTCCAAACATTTAAAAATGTAAAAGCCATTTTTATCTCTCAGGCTGTAGAAACACGAGCAGCAGGCTGAATTTGGCCTGCAGCTATAATTTGCCAACTCCTGCTTTCAAGCCTGACTTCTCCAAGTGTAACCCATAGTCTGGCAGCATCAGCAACACCCAGGAGCTTGTCAGAAATACAGAACCTCATGCCCAATCCCAGATCTGCTGAAGGAGAACTTACATTTTCAACAACAATCATGTGTTTGTTTATGCAGTTTAAGGTCCACTCAGGTTGATACATGACTGTGGTCAATCCCTGTGCTTCCCAAGGAAGTGACCTTACCTTGGGAATGTTCTGAACCTCTCTGTGCCTCAGTTTCCCCATGTACAAGATAAAGATGATAGCATTTCCTCCCTTAAGCATGGCTGTGAGAATTCGCACGCGCGTACACACACACGCACACACATGGCTTAAAACAATGTTTGTCATTACCATAACAAAATCTTCTGTTATTTTCACAGCCACCCTCTGAAACAGGCAATGTTGACCTAATTTGACAGAAGAAACTGTAGTCCAAAAAATACAGAAATTCACCTAGGATCACAATTTAGTCCTGAGAATAATGATCAAAGGGACAAAAGGGGGACAAATGCCCCAGGCTCCCAGGTCTTCAAGCCCATGTCCCCCTCTCGGGGAACACTCTCCATAACCTCTCAGCTCATGCCCCTTAGATGATCCCTAAAAATACTTCTGCCACGCAAGGATCTCCCCAAATCTGTACCCCAAGTTACCCTTTCATTCCTTGAAATTTATTTTCCATTAAGTCGCATAGTGGTTTTTTTACAACTTCTCTTTCTAGTTATAGATTGTAAATTTTTCCTTTGCTGAGTCTTGGAGCTGACCAACTGTTTTTTATTCTATTTGTAGGGCTCAGGGGAAAAAAAAAGGCAATTCCTTTATTTGAGAATCCTGACATTTATTAGCATAATAAAACTCTCAAGATGAAATTGCAGTTTTCCAGACAGTAATTTCATTTGCAGGACAACTTACAAGGGATTTATTTTAAAGCCAGGTAAAAAGGTAAAACCTAAAATATATGAGACATGCAGAAATTGCAGGCCCCAAATAAAATGAAATAAATGTGTTAGGGATGGAAAACCCAGCTGTTGTCTCTCACATATTAATTAGGGGTGACAGGAACAACAGCCCAGGGATTCAGGGCCTCAACCCATCTTGGTCTGCTTTCAAAGCTGCTGTTAGTTCTTGGAACAAAAGTTTCTTCCAACACCTTGAAAATCATCACATCACATCCCCCGACACATCATGGCTAAGGACTAAATTGTTGTTGTTATCGTGGTTGTTGTTAGAAATACCTTTTTCATTTGGACAGAGCTTTCATGTTTATCATTTAACTGACCTGCAAAAAAACCTAGTGACGGCCATACAGAAAATTCCCTTTTCAGTCATACTGAGGTTTACTGAAGTTAAATGACTTGGACAAAGTCACATAGTTGGTAAATCATCAGAGAGCCAAAACTAAAACATCGTTCCTCTGAGTCCATAGAAATAAGGCAATTTTAATGATAATTTTAATGATAATCAATTAAGGCACGTTAGAGTTCAGAAAGGAGGTTCCTTCCATCATTTCACTGTATGCATGTAGTGAGACAGGCAGACCTGGGAAAGCCACGGAGCTGAGTTGCAAAATTGATATTATTGAACACTTCTCTATGATGGGTTCTTATCCTGGATTCCCCAAAAGGTAGAGCCAGTGGCAAAAGCCTAGAAGCTGCTACTTCATTCAGAAGTGCAATCCCAGAGCAACAGGAGACAGCAGGGCAAGGCAGAGAAGAAGGAACAAACAGGAGCAGGGAGGTGTCATACTGATCCAGCCACCACTTGGTTTCATCGTGACTGGTTGCCCGATCTTGCAGGACCGTCTTCTAAAAGACCATTCAAACAGATGCCTCTCAGAATAGTTCCTCCAGGAGGAAGAATGGGGAAAAAGCGATCTACCAGCCTGTGACTCCCCTTCATCCCAGATTCACCACATGGGGCATTCACTTCCCATCTCTTCTGTCTTATGCCTCTGCAGCAACGGGAGACAGGACATGTGGCAAGCTACCACTGGCTTATGCTCACATGACACTGATCAACATAGGGAGGAAGAGCAGAACTCATGCAAAACTGGTTACAGTGCTGGTGGCTTGTGGTAGAGAAGTGACCAAGAATCTAAGGAACAGGTGAGGCAAGAGAAGAAGAGGGGCATAGGAAATGTTTGATACAGCCATCAAGTAAAATAAATTGTTCCCTAACATCCCTAGGGTCCCTTCATTCGTTCCCTCTCACCAAACACAATGCTGCAAGCATTATAATGCTAATAAGTTCCAGGGTGAGGATCTGAACCCAAGTTTTCTTGACTGTAAAGACTGTAATCTTCTCTTCATCATATACTACCTCTGTGTATATGGCCATAACTGTGGAACACAAGTATGCACCAATAGACACCATCACTGAGAGTTATTGAGGAGTTATTGGGTGAGTCTTCTTGTTAATATAAGGAACATACTGAGATTAAGTTGACAAGGGAATTAAAAGGACAATGAGGACAGAGCTAATCATTGGAGTAACCTGCATAAAGAGGGCCATATCCCAGAGAGCAGAGCCACATCAGATTTCTCAAAACCATTCTTGCATTTATAACTCACCCCAGGTCTTGAAGACATCTGTAGGATTACATAAAACCATTGCAAAACCAGGGCCAAGATATGATTCAAAGATAGAGGAGAGTGACAAAAGAAGAGGTCAAATAAGGAAGGCAGGACAGTGTCAATCAGCTGCCCTGGAAACTGGGGCTCGCCTTAGGTAATTCCAATGATAACATCAATAAGGGTAATAATGGAGATTATGAAAGATGCAGCATTTATGTCCTCCATAGAAATCCTTCATAATCTTCCATTATCGCCATGATTTTATAGAGCGGCAAGTAGGAAATAATTTACGAGAAACCACTGCTAATTTGTGTTGGAAAACTTTTAGAAGATGTGCATTCATTAACAAACATTTACTGAATGTCTACCATATGTTAAATTTAAGGTTCGGCACTGGAATTATTGTGGATTATTCAAACATGGTCCACACACTGTAAAAGCTCAGTTTCTGGAAGCCATAACAAACAGGCTTTGTCTTCTAAGGTCATATAGCTAAGCTCTTCATGAAAGAGTTGCATGAGCTATTAGCAATTTCTCTCCTGATCACTGGGATGAGACTAGTAGCCCTATGCCACAGATGTCATATCCCTTGAGACATATTAATCTACTTTTTCCTCTAGATAGTGGTGGATCTTCCAGAAGGCCATAGAATTTGAGTTGAGAAGTTCTTAAGCTCAGTTCAAAAACAGGATGCCCAAAGGAATCCAACTGATAAGGAAAAAAATATTATTCAAACAATAGATGGTAGTCTGGTGGGCTGTCCCTCTGTCCGCAGGGTTCCTGAAGTAACTCTCCTCCTGAAACAGTGATAATTTCCTCCTAAAAGAGAAAAAAAGGAAAATGCATTTATCATCAAGACAGGGAAATACACATCTATGAGAGAGAGTGAGAGGTTCAAGACAGAGAAACTAAGAATATGCATCTGTCTCCCCTCATTCAGATTGCTAGAAATGACATTTAAAAACTCTGCCTTTAAAAAGAAATGAATTCATAAAAAGTACTGGAAAATAAAAAGGAATGCCATTGACAAAGTGAAACATATTGAAGAATCCTTGAAAAACAAAAGACATGCAGGAGGGGCTTGTCAGAGCAGTCAATGTGGGACACCAGTTACAGCAAGTTGAGGAAGGGTTGACGGACTCCAGTAGGTGTTTGCCTCAAGCAGGTTGGGGAATGAGGAGATGCACACAGTTCCTTGGAAGCCCCAAGAGACCCAAAAAGTTCAGACAGTCCCATGCCCAAAAGATGAGCCACTCACAGTCAGCTCCAACTCCTACAGCATGAAGACACTGGATTTGGGAAACAAAACTATATTCACTCATGATGGACAGAAAATTCAAAGTTGGAATATCGCTTCACAGCCTAAAATTTATAGGCATTCAAGCAAAATTATAACCATAAAAGAAAGATGCTGAACTCAACAATAGAAATGATTTCCAGGAAAATATCAAGTCTATAAAGCAAACAGAAGAGGCTTTAAGAGATGTACATTAATCTCTCCTCAGCGGAATAAGAAATAAGTCATCCATGAAACGAGAATGGGCATTATTAAAAAAAAAAAAAAAAAAAGAACCAATTAAAGAACCTGGAAACCAAAAGCATGACCATTTAAATTAAAAGGAAAAAATTTCAGAAGAACTGAATAGCAGAATGCTCATAACTAAAGAGCAATTCAGCAGCTGAAAGAAATGTCACATCAAAAAGAAAGAGACATCCTAATAGAAAAATGGACAAAGGATATGAAAGGACGACTCACAGAAGAAATCCAAGTGGCCATGAAATGTGTGAAAAGATCCTCAGCATCAGTGGTAATCAGACAAATGCAAACTAAACCACAGTAGATTCAGTGTCTGCCCATCTGATGGAGAAAAATGAAATGACTGATAGGCCCCAGTGTTGGCAGCAATGCAGGGAAACAGCCTCACATAGTTTTGGCAGGAGACTGAACTGGCGCCACATTTTTGGAGGGCAATCTGGCAGATCTTTCCTAATTAAAATGTGCATACTCTTCTTTCCAGCAATTCCAGTTCCAGGACCCATCCTTGAGAAATACTGCACATGTATCCATAGTGACACACACAGGGAAGTCTCTGCAGCACTGTTCAAGATCATGAAAAATTGGAAGCCAGATAAGAGTGGCCATCAAAAAGGAGAATGGGTAATTAAACTGTAATATGCATCCATACCATGGAATACCACACAGCATTTACAAGGTTTGGTATACGGATTAACACAGGAAGAGCTCATAGAAATATTTGAATGACAGTCAGCATGTCCTGAAATTACAAGTGTCAGATATATTGTTTCAGCACTTCACACAGTGATGTTTCATTAAAACCTTACAGTGACCTGAAGAGTTGAGTGCTACTATTAAACCCACTTTACTAAGATGGAAACTAAGGTGCAAAAGCTAAATAGTCGTCCAAAGTCAAACACATAAGTTAGAATTTAAAACTCAGCAGCCTCATTTTAGGGACCATGCTTTTTAAAACTGCATTCAATTATTTAGTAAGCATGTTAAAAAATCAAGTCACTCATTTATATGTAAGGAAATATGCAACTCAGGCTGGGTGTGGTGGTGCATGCCTGTAGTTCCAGCTACTAGGGAAGCTGAGGTGGGAGGATCACTTGAGCCCAGGATCTTGGGGTTACAGTGAGCTATGATCGCACCACTGCACTCCAGCCTAAGCAACAGAGTAAGACCTTGTCTCAAAAAAGACTACACAACTTACATGAAAAATAACAAAACTATATATTTCCTTATGTACATAAGTTTTTATGTTACTGCTCAGGAGATATTTAGATAAGATATATGGCAAACTGATAAAGTGGAGGACGGAGATAGAGATTTGAAATAAATGAGGCTTTCACTTTGTATTGTGCTTGATTTTTCTTAGAATGTAATCATGAATTAATTGTATAATTAAAATTTTAATTTGTAGATGTTGGCCTCCAGATCTCCACATTGGCATAAATGATATCTCTCCTTAGTGTTAGAAATGAAATTGTGAGTCTCAAAGGTTTTGATTTGGAAGAGAATAAAGATCTTCAGACATCTCTGGTTTAGCCTTTCTCTGGAACCTGTCCTGAGTGAGGGGCATTTATCCTTTGCTTGAAACACTTCCAGCAACAAGGAGCTCATCATTGCTAAAGCAGCTCCTATTATACAGGAAAAGCACACAATGTGGTTTAGTGGAAAAAGTACATTCTTTAGAGGCAAACAGTCTGAGGCTTAACTCCTGGTCCTAACCATGAAAACTTAGCCCTGGTTTCCTAATCTGTGGAATGGGGCTAAGATGCCTCCCTCAGGCATCTGCCACTGCTGAGACTTGAGTAGGTAAACAAAGCGGATGGGAAAGCTGGAACTGGGCAGAGCCCCCCACAGCTCAGCAAGGCCTGCTGCCTCTGTAGAGTCCACCTCTGCGGGCAGGGCATAGCTGAACAAAAGGCAGCAGAAACTTCTGCAGACTTAAACGTCCCTGTCTGACAGCTCTGAAGAGAGCAGTGGTTCTCCCAGCATGGTGCTTGAGCTCTGAGAACGGACAGAGTGCCTCCTCAAGTGGATGCCTGACCCCGTGTAGCCTAACTGGAAGACACCTCCCAGTGGCAGCCGACTGACACCTCATACAGGCAGGTGCCCCTCTGGGATGAAGCTTCCAGAGGAAGGATCATACAGCAATATTTACTGTTCTGCAATATTTGCTGTTCTGCAATATTTGCTGTTCTGCAGCCTCCGCTGGTGATATTCAGGTAAACAGGGTCCAGAGTGGACCTCCAGCAAACTCCAACAGACATGCAACTGAGGGACCCAACTGTCAGAAGAAAAACTAACAAACAGAAAGGAATAGCATCAACATCAACAAAAAGGACATCCACACCAAAACCCCATCTGTAGTTCACCAATATCAAAGACCAAAGGTAGACAAAACCACAAAGACGGGGAGAAACCAGAGCAGAAAAGCTGAAAATTCTAAAAACCAGAGCACTTCTTCTCCTCCAAAGGATTGCAGCCCCTTACCAGCAACAGAACAAAGCTGTACAGAGAATGATTTTGATGATCTGACAGAGATAGGCTTCAGAAGGTCGGTAATAACAAACTTCTCCAAGCTAAAGGAGGATGTTTGAACCCATCGCAAGGAAGCAAAAAACCTTGAAAAAAGGTTAGACGAATGGCTAAGTAGAATAAATAGTGTAGAGAAAACCTTAAATGACCTGAAGGAGCTGAAACCCATGGCAGGAGAACTATGTGACACATGCGCAAGCTTTCAATAGCCAATTTGATCAAGTGGAAGAAAGCGTATCAGTGATTGAAGATCAAATTAATGAAATGAAGTGAGAAGAGAAGTTTAGAGAAAAAAAGAGTAAAAAGAAACAGAGCCTCCAAGAAATATGGGACTATGTGAGAAGACCAAATCTACGTTTGATTGGTGTACCTGAAAGTGACGGGGAGAATGGAACCAAGTTGGAAAACACTCTTCAGGATATTACCCAGAAGAACTTCCCCAACCTAGCAAGGCAGGCCAACATTCAAATTCAGGAAATACAGAGAATGCCACAAAGACACTCGTCATGAAGAGCAACCCCAAGACACATAATTGTCAGATTCACCAAAGTTGAAATAAAGGATAAAATGTTAAGGGCAGCCAGAGAGAAAGGTCCGGTTACCCACAAAGGGAAGCCCATCAGACTAACAGCAGATCTCTCAGCAGAAACTCTAGCTAAAAGCCAGAAATAGAGTGGTGGGCCAATATTCAATATTTCTTTTTCCATTTTTTTTTTTTGAGACCGGAGTCTCGCTCTGTCGCCCAGGCCTGGAGTGCTGGTGCCCGGGTCCTAGGCTCCTGCAAGCTTCCGGCTCTCCCGGTTCCCGCCATTCTCCTGCTTCAGCCTCCCGAGTAGCTGGGACTACAGGCGCGCCGCCACCTCGCTCCGGCAGTTTTTTTGTATTTTAAGTAGGAACGGGGTTCCACCGTGTTGGGGCCAGGATGGTCTCGATCCCTGGACCCGTGATCCGCCGTCCGGCCTCAAAGTGCTGGGATTACAGGCTGACCACGCGCCCTGCTCAACATTCTTAAAGAAAAGAATTTCAAACCAGAACCTCATATCCCACCAAACAAGCTTCATAAGTGAAGGAGAAATAAACTCCTTTACAGACAAGCAAAAATCCTGAGATGATTTTGTCACCACCAGGCCTGCCCACAAGAAGCCCCTGAAAAGGTAAAAGCACTAAACAGAAAGGAACAACCGTACCAGTCACAGCAAAAAACATGCCAAATTGTAGATCATCGATGCTAGAAGAAACTGCATCAACTAACAAGCAAAATAACCACAAAACATCATAATGCAAGGATCAAATTCAACATAACAGTATTAAATCTTTAAAATGTAAATGGCTAAATGCCCAATTAAAAGACACAGAAACACGGCAAATTGGATAAAGAGTCAAGACTCATCCGATGTTGCTGTATTCAGGAACCCTCTCACATGCCAGAGACCATACATGGGCTCAAAATAAAGGATGGAGAATCTACCAAGCAAATAGAAAGCCAAAAAAAAAGCGGGGTGCAATCCTAGTCTCTGAAAGCACCAGACTTATAAACCAACAAGA